GTAGGAAGATATGGTCAAAGATATAGCATCCCCACACAGAATGCATGAAAAAAATTGTAAAATTGAAATAAATAAATTTAAAAATGTAAATAATAAAATAATATTAATAACAATTTAAATAATAACATTAAAATAAATAAATACATACATAACAAACCATGTCAAAAATTTTTTAAATAAATAACAAATATAAATAGATGGCGATAAAGAGAATATTTACTAAATATAATAAACTATAAAAAATAATAATTATAATGAAATAAAACATACAAAACATAATTTTTTATATTGTTTCATTTTGTATTTGTGCCATTTGAATGTTTGTTTGTTTGTTTATTTATTAAGAAATTAATACTTTTATTCACCACGAATGCATTAAAATGATCAAAAGTGCCAGTAAAGACATTTATAATGTTACAAAAGATTTCTATTTCAAATAAATGCTGTTCTTTTGAACTAACTAACTAAATAGATGAAGGAAGGAAGTGAATAGTAAAAAATAAAAGTTTAAGAAGGCAATGCTTGAAAGATGACAGCTAAAACACAGCCTAAAATCATTTTACACATCAAATCGAGAAACACCTTCGAGACAAATTAAAACAGACAACTGTCATAGATGATCAGACAGAATAAACTGAGTTATTTAGTCTATAATCATCTCAGAAACCAAACACACTCTCTCTGTCCCTTCCAAAAACCACTCAGGGATGCAGCGGCAAGTGTCCCGTTTCTGTTTTAGTAAACAAGAAGAAGGTAAGATCTCCAGATAAAACTAGATTTTTATGCTTTCCTCATCTCTCGCTCTCCTTTTAAACAGGCCAGCGGACAAAAGCTCCAGTGAAGCTCTCTAATCGACAGCTCTCATGGAGACTAACTTTTCCAGTCTGTCCGTTCCACCGGCCCTCTCCCTCTCGATGTTTCATTATATCCATTGTTGTGGGTCAGAGCGCTTGGACTCTCACTGTACTTCGCTTTTGTGGGGCTGATCATATTCCAACTATTTTGGATTGTGCCTAACAGATCAGGACAATGGAGGGCAGTGAGTTTTCCCGGACAGGCTCGGACGGCCAGATTGTGTTCACAGCAACAAGAGCTTCTCCCACCGAACACTGCGAAGAGATATGCCAGTGCATGTGTGCACTGATTTTTGATATCGATCCAACCGCTGAGTGAGAGGAGTGTGGAGGAAACGCTTTTTCAGAGATTAAACGAAGAAAAAAATCTCCTAACTTTGTCTAAAACGCTTTCACAAACGTTCCTCTGTGCTTGAACGCCCAAAATGGCATTTGCAACACATTTCACTTCTGTCTATGGGATATTTTGTTAATTTTCAGCATCATTACTCCAGTCTTCAGTGTCACACGATCCTTCAGAAATCATTCTAATATGCTGATTTGCTGCTCGAGAAACATTTCGGGTTATTATCAATGTTGAAAACAGTTAGGGATAATAGGGTTAAAATAATACCAATTATTTAATACCAATTTAATTTAATAACAATTTAAATGCATTAAATTGATCCAATGTGACAGCTTATAATGTAAAAAATAAATCTAATTATTGAAAAATAAAATTATTACAAATGCTGTTCTTTTGAACTTTCTATTAATCTAAGAATCCTGAAAAAAATGTTTCGACAAAATATTAAGAGGCAAAAACTGTTACAACATTGATAATAATAAGAATAAGAATATTATTATTAATACCATTATTAATTTTTCAGCACCAATAATAATTTATCACAAAATCAGCATATTAGAATGATTTCTTAAGGATCATATCACAGTGAAGACTGCAAAACTGCATTATTTAATCAAAATACAGTAAAAAAAAACTGTATATTGTAAAATATATTTTAATATTAATACTACTGCTAATAATACTATTAATAATAACAATAATTATTGACCATAATTGGTTGATTCCTGAAGGGTCATGTGACAATGAAAAGTGGAGTAATAATGATAAAAATTCAGTTTTAAACCACAGGAACAAATTACATTTTTTAATATACTCATATAATTGTTATTTTATATATATATATATATATAGAGAGAGATAGATAGATAGATAGATAGATAGATAGATAGATAGATAGATAGATAGATAGATAGATAGATAGACAGATAGATAGATAGTAAAAGACATATAGACAGTAAAAACAGCAACATTTAAAATAAATATAAAGTAAATGTTATAAAATGTATATACATATTTCATATTATATTTATACATATATATATATTTATTCTACATTTATTTTAAATATTACTATTTTTACTGTAATATATATAAAGAGAGAATTGTATATTATTTATTTTACATTTATTTTAAATATTACTGTTTTTACTATATTTTTTATCAAATAAATTTAGCCTTGGTGAGCTTTTATTGGTGGTTAATTTTTCCAAACATTTTAAGTATAAATAGGAATAAGGATTTCATGTTGTCTTTAAACTTTGATCAGTGCCTTATAAAGTCTATCCAGCAGGCCAACAGGTGCACGAGTGTTTGTGAGTGTGTGCACCGCTGAATCCACACGTGCATTTACATATTTGAAAAAAAGAGGCCACATGCACCCGGTGTCACATTGAGATGTGTGCGGAGACAATAGGCCCAGCAGGTCACCGTGGAAACAAGCTTGAGAGGGTGGGGGGGCAGCAGCTGTTGCATCAGATTAGTTAAGATTCCGAGACCCTCCCCCTTTACCAGCAGCACCTTCACACCATTCCCTCCTTCCTACCTTCACACTTCATATAAGAGTGATTCTGTAGAGAGGAGCTACTTGAAGTGTCTTCCAAGCATGTTTCAACTAAACATTACCTCGCGTCTTGATCGAATCGTGGTCTTGATAAACCCTCAAATGGATATTTGTGTTTTAAAGTCAAAACAGACATTACAACATGAAAAACTTTCATAGAATATGTTTTACAAAACTTTAACGCAATAGGTGAATGAGTTAAAAGCAATATGAAAGAAAACTGTGCCTATTTACAAAAGTCTAGCATTCAAAATTCAGGGATCAGTAAGATTTTTAAATGTTTTTGAAACATTAAAAGTCTCTTATGCACACCAGGGCTGTATTTATTTGATCAAAATGCAGTTAAAACAGTAATTTACTGTAATTTTATTGTAAAATACTACAATTTAAAATAATAAAAAAAATATATATATATAAGTTGAACTATGTATGTATCTATGTACTTATTTATTTATTTATTATTTATTATATATTTCAAAAATCATGTTTTTTTTATTGTGTTAGTTAGCTGTATTTTTTTTTTTTTGTTATAAAGTTAGCTTTTTTTAGCTATATTTAGTTATTTTTTACCTAATCAAAATAACTTAACTGCAGTTTGATTGAGATTAATTGGAATGCACAATGAAAAAACACGATTTTTGAAAATTGTTAAAAACTGAGTTATCTGTTTTTGCAAATGAACTCTTCATATATATATATACTAAATTTAATAAACTATATAAGAATAATAATAAACAGAAATATATATATATTCCATTCTGTATTTGTACTGTTTGAAAGTTTGGGGTCGGTAAATTATTATAATTTTTTTTTTTTGGAAAGAAAGAAATAAATTAATACTTTTATTAAAAGTGACAGCAAAAACATTTTTAATGTTATAAAAGATTTCTATTCAATAACTTTCTATTCATCAGAATCCCGAAGGAATGTATCACAGCACAAAAATATGAAGCGGCATGACTGTTTTCAACATTAATAACAGTAATAAGAAATGTGTCTTGATCAGCAAATCAGAATATTAGAATGATTTCTGAAGGATCGTGTGACACTGAAGACGGAGGAATGATGCTGAAAATTCAGCTTTTCACCACAGAAATAAACTACATTTTTAAATATATTCAAATAGAAAACAGCTATTTAAAACTGTAATAATAATTCACAATTTTACTGTTTTTACTGCATTTTTTAATTTAAAAAAATCATCCATAAACATTTTACAGGAAACGGTCCCGACCAGTGGTTTTGTGTCTATTTATGGTTCTTTTTTACTTGTAGTTCTAATAGTTCTGGTTAGTTTAGAACAAATTAATAGGACGGCCACATTTAAAACTTCCCTTTGTACTGCGCGTCTTAATCTTTCTCCTCTTTTTCAAGGCCGTCCCCTTCTCTCGTGCCCTCAACCCACAGGAGGCGACACGGCCTCCCTCACTCATCTCATACGCTCTTCTCTTTCTTTAGTCCCTGTTGTCTACTATTCAACTCAGCAAGCCGCTCTCTCATGAAAGAAAAAGCAGCTAAACAAGGACTCCATCTCCAACTGGGACACCAATTCTTTACCGCCGACACCGAATATGACAGTAACAAACGGAACAAGTGGAGACCGACGGAGAATAAAAGAGATATCACGTGTGCATCAAAACACACAGACAAATTTACGTGACCTTTTCGTAATTGAAAATGTCAAATAACACACCAACATCAAGAGCACATTGTTGGGTGACACTACGGGGGACAAACTGTATTTTTCTGGTTCTTTAAAAAGTTGTATTATGTAGAATATTTACAGTATATAAACTAAGATGCCACTGATGTCACAACTCTTTAACACAGCTCATTAACATATGACCGCCCATATTTAAATAAGACCTATTCGGTATTCAGAAACTAGACTGGACCTGGCCTTTTCACCAAAGTTATGACTGTCATATGTAAGTTTAAAAGGTACAGTAGCAAAAACGGACTTTTTAAATCTGAGGATCAGAGAGAGGCACGTTTTACAAGAAAATAATTTTTTTTACGTCAAAATGTCAATGTGTTACTTGCATGTGAATTCAACTTCAATTTTATTTATATAGCACATTTAATAGCAACTAAGTTGTCCAAAGTGCTTCACAATTGTGAAAATTGCTTGTGAAATTTACTAGCAATTTCTGAGTTGCCTTCTCAGTGTGGTAATGAAAACTAAAAGAAATGATGAAAGAAATGACACACTGGTGTAGAATACGGCCCTTGAACTCACCTTTCCAAACTGATCGAAATACTGTTTCACATCTTCGATGGTGGTGTTGACAGACAGTCCTCCAACAAAGATCTTCTTTGTTCTTGTTACCAGCTGAAAACACCAGAAAAAAAGACAAATAACGAGACAATTAAGTAATCACGCAACTACAGGATTTTGTAGGACTTTCAACAAGAAAACTAGCATGCCCTTTGAATACATATTTTCATATTTTTAAAGGTAAGGTATGCAAAAGTCAACTATTTTGTTGAAAAAAAGAGTGTGTGTTCATTACATAAATAGGAGTTATGTATGACCAGTGTTGGGCAAGTTACTCTGAAAATGTAATCAAATTACTGATTACTCCTTTTGAAGGTAATAACGTTACTGTTCTGATTACGTTATTTCAAAAGTAATTACTAATTAGTTACATTACTAGTTACGTTACTTTTTTTCTCCGTGAAATTTATGAAATCCCAGCATACACGCTCCTGATAAATATTTGTTATTAAAGCATCATCATTCACAGAACACTGCTATTTTTAACTAAAGCAAGCGGCTGCTGTGTGCATGGTTTGGCATGGCAGAATGCCAGCAGTATGCATAATGAATCTTTCATAATGTCTACAATTCGTGTGTTACAATGAGAGGATTCGTGAGCACGCAAATTCCAGCACTGCATTGCTCAACGCTGCAAACACGTGTTATAGCCTAAATAGAAACTCTGCATACGCTTGCGCCTGTTAATCGTTTATATTTTATATTAGTTCATGTTGCTTTTGTGCAATAGATGAATAACAATTTATTTGTTTTAGATATTTTATGTTTAGATATTTCTATTTTGCGGGAGTCCCGTGAATCATTTTATTCTCCCGCATCCCGCACACACACGAGTGTCTACCCGCCCGCACCAGCACTCGCCCATCTTGTCCCGCGCTACGCTCTGTTTCGTCGGGTCTCGCGGGTGCAGGTCTCTAATCCACTGGCACTGGACTGGACAGTGCGTGTGCTACATCTTTTTTACAATCTCTAGATTATAAAACACTGCATTCTGTCAGCAATGTAACGCAGCAGTAACGTATAGAGATGTCGGCTTGTAACTATACTCTAATAAATATTTTGGAAATTATAACACGTTAGATTACTCCGTTACTAAAAACGTAATCAAATTACAGTAACGCGTTACTAAGTAAT